TGAAAAACCCCCAAAAAAAAAAAAAAAAAAAAAAGAAAAAGTGGACACATTGCTTTTATAGTCAAGGAAAACAGTTTTAGAAAAAAATAAAGGCGACAAGTAATATTTAATGTATTCATTAGCAATTGAAGCTCGTATCAAGTAAAACTCAACTCTACTTAATTTTAATTAATATTGTATGAGAGCTATCTTTGGAATTTCCTTGGTATAATTTTTATATAACAGCTCTCATTCTGTGCATATCTCCAATGAAGTTATTTTCTTCAAAGAAATTCACCCTTTGAATAAAAGCAACATGACAGCTTTAGCTATGAAGTTTAAATATGACTCTGTGAGGGTTATTTACACTAATATCAGTTCCAAAAATAGTAGTGAGGTTTGGTTATATACTAGCCAAGCAAACATTTACCAAAATTGGTAATGCTGATTGCTGAGAAAATCCTTCAAACTTTTTGGTATGCTCCTGTGTATACATGTGTCTCATTCATTGCTTATGCTTCTCAAACATGCAAGGACATTGCATAAAATCCGTACCTTGTACAGGGGCAATGGAGTTCACGACTTGAAACGTGGGGCTGACATCAGAACAGATTCCAGTTGTGTAATGCAAGTGTCCACATCTATATGCATATAAGGGTCCACATGCCTTTTGAACAATTTGAGAGAGTAAAAGCCGTAAGATTGAAAGTGATACAACAAATCTTAATAGGACACAATGATAGCATTCCTCTTGCCAATAACCATTACGATTCTTTCCTTTCTTACCAGAAACCCTCCATTTGGATTAGTGACTAAGGTTGATCCAAATGTCATGTTTTCCTTTACTTCCGTGACATTGGGAATTGACGTATTAACTAAAAAGAGAACAAAATTTTATGAGTGAAAAAAAGTTTCACAGAGTAAAATTGAGTGTCTTCTCATTCTATCTGCTGTGCTCACAGAACATTCTTCTTTTGGTTTAACTAAATAGTCTTCCAAGTATTATTAAGGAGTATAATGAACTAACTAAGGCTGAGAGCTGGCTTATGTCCCAGAAACTTTGTCTGGATCACTGTTTCAAATAGTTTTGCTGAACTGTGAAAGAATGCAAAACTAGCAGGGCAATGAGAATGTGGGAGTGCTTTTTCACACATTTTTGATAATTAAAATAAATAAAATGTTTAGTCTCATAGTGAGGCTATAATGTAATCTTATAGGCTTTGCTATAAATAACCAATAATGAAACATGATTTCTGGCAAGGAAAGAAAAAATGGGGAGAAGACACAGAGAAAACCCTAACCTAAGCTTTAGGATCATGACTTCCCCAATCGTGAAGACATCATGGGGGTTACAAAGACAACTAGCGACAGATGAGAGCAGAGGTCAGGAAGTTTGGAAAACGGAAACACAATAAAAAGGGACTACATTTGAACTTCCAAATAGGAATGTTGGGTCTCAAAGTGTGCCCGCCTGACAGATTTGGTGAGAAGGTCTAAGTATTCACGTTGAAAGAAAAACGTTGGATAGAAAAAGCAAAAGCTCCTAAACCCTGTTTGACAGAGTGCTGGAATGCTTGAAGGTGGCAAAATTCAAGGTCCAGTAAAATAGTCTCACTGTTTGTGCTTGGAAGTTGTTCTCAGTACTATATTGTATATAGATTTAAGGTGGAAAACAGGAACAGAGTCCTCAAGGTTCGGTTTGATTTCCTAATCTGAGCATTTCCTAATCCAGAGTAGAACCTGGTTTCCTTTGAAAGTAACTGGAAGGGAACTGTTTCATACATTGATTTTGAATACGCTGGATTAAGTCTTTTTGTCGTTACTCATTTACTTATTTTAGGTTTTTGCCATAGGCCAAGTGTAGTTGTTGGAGAGTCAGAGAGAAGGAAAGTGAGACAGTAACCTCCGAGGGGATGGTCATGCCACAGTCCCTTCTCCTCCATTCTCTCAGGATTTTAGGCACTCATGCACACTTGTCCAGTGTGACTTTCAAGCTGCCAGGTCTAGAGGTTGAACTGCGGTTGAGTGCCTTCACCACCACACCACCTGCTGGCTCCTGGATTAGGGTGTTTTACATAATGATTGACTCAGTATCAGCATTCCCGCTCTGATTAAGGACTCCAGAAAAAACTTTCCTACTGTTCTTCACACAGCTAAAATCTCTAGGCTCATATTAAAAAGGCTATTCCAGGGAGGTGGATGGGGGCACAGCAGAAAAACTGGTGCTCTATGAGGCTGACCCACATGGGAAAGTTAGGAATTCCTGTTCAGAGATCTCTGAGCTAACCACACGTGCGTCCATGACACAAGGCTGTCGGAGGCTAGGGGTACATTGTAGTATCACTGGAGTGTCTGTTTCTCTCTTGCTGTTCCTCTTGATCATGGAAGAAATAAATAAATAAACTTTAAAAAGAAGTCTACTCCAGTTTCTAGGAATGAAAGAATAGGTCCTATCAGAAGAATTCTTTAGCAAATAACAAGTATAAATTCTAGAAAAAGGGTAAAAACACACACACACGCACACGCCTGCATGCACACACACACACACACACACACACACACACACACATACATACACGTATATACAAGAAACAACCACCTGAAGGCACCGGAAAGCAACCAAAAGCAGGCAGAAATGGGGGGGGGGGATATTGGGAAGAAGAGACCGGCACTGGGTGTTTTCTGTTTTGTTTTTTTTGTTTGTTTTCTCTTCCCAAGGGAAGGCGCTCATCAGTGACTGAAACTCAAGCAGAACTCCCACTCAGACTTCTTTGAAGAAAAAGAAGACAGACCATGGAGCAATGACAGAAGCTACAAAATGAGGGCGGATACTTTGGAAAAAAGAACCATATATATATTCTGTCCAAACATCTAGATGACCTGAACAGTAAATGTGCCAAGCAAACTTCAATAACCCAGCTGAAGAAAAGAACTCAGTAGAAATTTTAACAGCTTCCCACTCCAGGGAAGTCAGAGGTTAGAAACTGAGTTCAACTAAGTAAAATGCCTGCTCAGACAAAAAGTTCCAAGTATTCAAAGGGACGTCACAGATTTTACACTCTTCTCGCTTACAGTTCAGACACAGGTTAGGATCCAAAGTTATTACACAGAAGACACAGGAAAATGTGGCTCAACCTTAAAGAAAGGTAATAAACAGAAAATGATGTTGAGGTATTCCAAATGCTGGAGTTGCCAGGCAAGGATATTAAAGCAGTGATTATAACTACGCTCATGAATATAAAATGATGAACAAACAGGAAATTTTTAAAAAGAGAACTAAAAACATATAGTATCTGAAATAAGCTTGTGGGGCTATTAATCATTTTCATGGTGTTTAATATTGAACAGAGCATTGACGGGACTTTAATTTCTGGATAGTATTAGTAGAAATTTTCTAGTCATGTTCTAACTACAGTGATATTGCTATTAAATATGTATATTGGAATATAAACTTATCTTGTGCTATTCTCTGTTTAAAAATTAAAATTTATTTATTACAATTTTTGTTTCTCTATTTCCTTTAAAACAGCCAGGAACTAAATTAAATTTGTGGAGGGACTGTGATGGAAAGATTTATTTAGAAAAGTTCTTTTTTATCACCACTGATTTATAGAGAATCCTAAATAATGGAGGAAGTTGAGAGTTAAAAAATTCAACAAGATAGTCTAAATCTGTGGATGCTTCCTGTTGACTTTCTAAAGGAAATTAAAGGCAGAAAGAATCAAGATGCCATTCTATCTGAATTTGGATAACTGAAGAATGATTATAGATTACTTCTAATATTTTCTTGATTTGCTTGAAATTGTTTTTCAGTGAAAATGCTGAATAATATTATGGATCAAACTTTAACTTTTGTGATTTTACATACCTGGTAGATCCAACTTTATGCAAGGCAATGATTCACCTCTTCCGACCGGACACTTGTAGACATCTCCAGTTCTGTTTTGGGGTTGGCCAACTAACGGAGAGCCAATAAGCACCCTAGAATTTAATAAAACAATTAACTTTTTGAACAATGAGGAATAGTTCAATTTAGCTATTTTATGATTAATACCCAAATAATAATTGTTCTCATAAGCATCATCAGAAAATCATCTACTTTTAGCAATTTACTGTTATTTATATAGAATTAGCAGAAAGCTGACCTCACAATACATAAGTTAAGTCCTACACATGGGGAGCCAATCTCACAGGGCCAACTGTGGTTTGAATCCTGACCCTGGTGGCTTGAAAAACATGCCAGAGACATATGCATGCATGACCTAAATCCTGGTGTTATGGAACAATGGAGGAAAAAGATTGAAGTGTGAGCACACCCTTCTGTAAGGTACATTCTCTTTCTGTGTTTTCACTCTCACTGGTATGCATACAAACCCTGTGACGATAAAAAATAAAACAAAATAAACAGAGCACCATCTCCAAATTGTTGATTGATTTGACTTAAAAATATGTAGGTAAGAGATCTTAGTGATACTGCTTTATTATTTTATCACCTTATTGTATTTTTTATTTGGGTATCTAAATAATCAATAATTTTTAGCTATATCTGCTACTGTGCTTATTAACAAAACACTTATGGAAGTATAAATGACTTTTCCCCAGGAGAAACATAATTTCATTGAGAAGTCAGGAAATATAAATGTAGGATTATCATAACATTTAATATTAGTATATGCTACTTTATAAGCATTACAAAATAAGGATGGTTATAAAATCACTTATTGCCAGTTAAAATCACTAATTGCCTTTTTACACAGAATTATAAGAATATCCTAATAGTACTAATGAAAAAATACAATCATGATTCATTTCAGTTCCAGCAAATCATTTAATAGCCTCCCATGACGTTGTCGGGAATAAGATATATGAATGTGGCTGAGAGTGAGTTAAGGTACTTGGATGGCTAGAGAGCTGCTTACTTATTTCTGATCGAAGAGCTATCTACAAAGACTGATAACGAGCAATCAGAGGACTCTAATTATGTATCATAAGACTGCATTTGAGATTGTCTTAGGTTATATCTTTATTGATGATAAGTGAGGGTACAGAAAGCATAAAAACACTCACCAAATACATTAATATACATACTGCATTTACAAATTCATCAGTATCTCAACATTTTGGTGTAATAAACATAAACAGTCTAAAGATTAATAGGTTAACTATGTACACTATCATCTATATCAGTACAGGATGTGGGAAACCTCACTTAATCGGAGTTCATGTGAAAAAGTCATGGGGGATTGAGCAGACAGCACATAAACTTGAGCCAACAGGGAATTTTAGTGCCAAAAATGCTAATGTGACCTTAGGCTGCATTGCTAGAAATAGATGTCCTGGTCAAGAAAAGTGATAGCCCCTCTGTGCTTTGCACTGGTCAGGCCATGTCTGGAATCTCCAAATTAACAAGGGCATAGGCACAATGGAATGTATTGAGGAGACTATGACTCAGATGGTTAGGAGCCTGGTCATTTTGTAAGACAAGAAATGCTCAAGAAAAGTTAGGGATGTTTACATAAAATGTCTGAAGAAGAACTGAGAAGTTATATAGAGAAACAAATGGATCAGGCATACTTGTAAAAAATTTAAATATTTGATCATCTGTCATATTGAAAAGGAGTGGGATTTTGCGTAGGACCTTTGGGCAAACTAGTCCTGATAAAAATAAGTTATACAACAATTGTAAATATTAAATTATTGAACAGATGCCCTAAAACATAATATAATGTCTTTGCAAAGTAATTTCTGATATGCATAAGGAACCATAAAAATGTTCAAACCCTTTAACATATAATTTACTTCTGGGAAAAGTTACCTAAAATAAGGGGAAAGAGCTTAATGCACAGACATAATTCTCATAGTTTATATACAATGATGACAGATGAAAAGAAATATGGTCAATAGCAAGAGCTTATTAATTACTGCAAGGTCATATCTATAGAATATTATCCTGTTATAAAAATAGTAGTAGTTATTAATAGTAGTTAGACTGTGTAAGATGAAAAATTATTTATGACAATTCTAACTGAATATCTTCCTAATTTAGTGAAAATATGTGACCTAATTTAAAGTAAAAGATACCATATTATTAAGCTTATTACAATAACAATGATAATAATAGCTAGCATTTATTCAATTTATGCCACATGCAAGACACTGCTATAAGAGCTTTCCGTGTATTTAGCAACTTTTTGCTCTCCATGAAACTTGGTGCCAGAGTTCATGAGTTCAAATTATGGCTTTACCCTTTTTTCAGTTGCATGATTTAGGATAAGCTGATTACTCTATCTGTGCCTTAGTTTCCTTATCTAAAATATGAAAATAGTGGGACCAGCAGTTAGCGTAATGGCTATGTCGCTGGACTCCCATGTAGTCAACCGCGGTTTGAGTCCCAGACCCGTGGCTTAAACTCACCCTGGTCGCTTGTGCGTGCGTGCCCAAGATCCCAAGAGGAGAATGGGGGAGAAGGGATTGTGGCGTGGCCATCCCCCCTGGGGGGGTGATTTCTCACTTTCTTTCTCTCTGTCTCTCTCTGTCTGTCTGGTGAGTGCACACGCCCTATAGCAAAAAAACAAAACAAAACAAAAAAACAAACAAAAAAAACTCTCCAAAAAAAAGAAAAAAAAAGAAAATATTAAGAGTACCTATCTCACAGAATCATCACGAAAATTAAATGTTAATGTACATAAAATGCTTCTAACAGTTATTGGCTCATAGTATGTGCTGTCTAAATGTTATTTCTTCTTATTATTATTATACTTTTATTTCAGACAATTAAACAACTAACATCTATTGGGTTGTCAAATAGTCATGACTTTTTTAATGCAAAAATGTGTCATGACTTTTCTGACAACCCAATGTGAACAACATATCAAAAGGGAATACATCAAAAACAACCAATCATGGGAACCAGCAGTTAGCGTAATGGCTATGTCGCTGGACTCCCACGTAGTCGACCGCGGTTCGTGTCCTGGACCCGGTGGCTTAAAACTCACGCCGGGCGCGCGTGCGTGCGTGCCCAAGATCCCGAGAGGAGAATGGAGGAGAAGGGATTGCGGCGTGACCATCCCCCCTGGGGGGTGATTTCTCGCTTTCTGTCTCTATGTCTCTCTCTGTCTGTCTGGCGAGCGCACGCGCCCTACAGTGAAAATCTCTCCAAAAAAAAAAAAAAACCAATCACATTAAGAAGATTGTGATTTTTCCCCCAATATTTTCTTTTTTAAGATAATTATTTATTTAATTTAATTTATTATTATTATTATGATTTTTTAATTTGTTATAGGGAATGTGCATGCTCCAGAAAGAGACAGAGAAAGGGGGAAAGGGAGAAAGCAAACCACCAGGTCTGGGACTTTTTGGAGTCCAGCATCTTAACCACCATGCCACCTTCTGTCCCCCCAATATTTTCAAATGTTTTGTCATGTGACTGAATAATTCCTGTTACAGCTGGAAACAGTTTAGAGAAAAGGAGTGAGCCTACTATCATTGAAAGTGTTTGACTCGAGGCTAAGTAGATCAAATAATGCTTATTAAGAGCATTCTAAATACTGGGCATTTCTGTCAGGTTCTGAGAATATCAAACTGGATAAAACATATTTTTTTAGGTTGCTGAAAACTTGCAGAGAGAAATAAAGCTGTAAATGTACTATTACAATACTGAATAGGTCTGACCTTGGTGTAACTTCAGCAAAGTCTTAGAAGCACAAAAGAACACTATTCCTTAAATAATGCAAGTAGTTCAGCATAGCTAGAGTAGAAGTTGAGGCTGGAGAATATACAGGACTCAGATCATGAATGTTCTCATAGTCTACTTACAGAACTTTGGATTTAATATATAGAGGGGGAAATTAAGAATCATAAATGCTTCTAAAGAGGGGTATGACATGATCTCCCTTTGATTTATAAGGCTTATTTGTCTCTCATGCCTTGAATAAACTGGAATGCAGCCAATTTAGAGTCAGGAGGGGCCAGATAAGAGTTCTTAAAGTAATCCAGATGAAGACATGAACTTAAAAATTGGTGAGAAAAGAAGAACCAATTCTATAATTATTTAGGATATGAACTATCTCAGTTTGGGTTTCCCCAAAAGCAGACCTGAGACGAAAACCTTGGCACAGGTAGTTTTGGTGCAATATTTCCAAGTATACATTCACAAACATAGAGTTTGGGGAAAAGAAAACAGAGGGAAGGAAAAAAGGCCAATAAAGGGCACATTGACCATGGGTTATTTCTGTAGGGAACTGGGTTCAGACTCTCTGGGGTCATCTCAGAAACCATTTGGAGCATGAATGAGCACGTTATGAGTTTGGTGGAAGCCCTAACAGTAAAAACTACCAGCTCAGAATATAGAACAGAAAAGAGCTGAAGGCTGACAGCTGGGGAAAATCTCTCTTAAGGTTTCCAGGAAACTAGGTACAAGTGATCAGAGAGGGAGAGAAAGAAGCAGCAAACAATGGTACCACAGAAGCCGAAGAAGGGAAAAAATATCCAGAAGAGGAGGAAAGAACTGGAGCCATGAATTTAAAGCAGACTTCATCTCAAGTAACTTCGCTAAAAATAAGGGCAGGGGGCCATGTTTATAAATGCAGATTTCTATTTTTCAGGGCAATAGCAAACCATGAAGGGTTGGAGGGTAGTTTAAAATTACTATGGCTATCCATTTAACCTGGATATGTTTACATGACGGTGAGAAAGAACTGGTAACAAGAGAAAAATTGATGCCACAGGAGAAAGAGAATAGTTTCTGAGCAGATAGAAAGGGTGGACCCAGAGTTTGTCTCCCAAAATGAGGAAGGGCTCCATTTCCCAGGCAGGGCTCTGGCAGGTCCAGAATTGAGAGGTCAGCAAGTGTGACAGACGGTTTGGGATTGGGTAAACCCTTACAATGGGACTGTGACCCTCATTGCTTTAAGAGGCAAATCTATTTTTACTCCTGCTTAATGTGAGATTTGTTTTGATAAATATAATGCAGCAAGAATGAC